TGTCTGTAGTCATCAATTTATTACCATTTTAAGGCCAATAATAGGGAAAGCCACCATCACCTCCTCCTCTAGCCTAAATAGAAACCCTTAAAATGTGGTTTCTGGCAATCACTATTTGTGCCACATATACCATCCTCCACTGGATGCAAAGCTTCACACAATGGACACAATCAAATTAACTTAATTGGCAGAAAGTAACTTCACAAGAGCAGTTTTTGACTGAACTCGTCTTATTTACCTGGGGTGAATGTCCACCAGCAGCACCAGCGTCTGCATGGTGATCACGTCGATGCGTTTACAGTGGAACCTCGCCACTTTCAACACTTTCAGGTAAGTCACACACAACACGACCAGCGTCAGGAGGAAGGTGAGGGAGTGCAGAGCCACGGTGAAGATGATGAACTGCGCCCCGGCTCCCTTCGCCCTGACGTTGCAGAGGGTGCATGACGCGTAAAGGTGGTGGTACCCGACCCAGGATCTGCAGCTGGCGACTATGGAGAAGCAGAGCGAGTGTGTCCACGTGTAAACCAGCGCTATCACCGCATCCCGGTGACGCATCCTGGAGTGGTAGCTCAGCGGGAACACCACCGCCAACCATCTGTCGATGCTGAGCGCTGCCATGCTCAGCATCGAGTTAGTGGTGAGGAAAGTGTCCAGGAAGCCCACGACCTGGCAGAAGACGCCGTCTCCGGGGTGGCCCGTGGTGATGAGTCCCACCAGAGTGAGGGGCATGTTGGTCACGCTCAGCAACAGGTTGCAGAACGTCAGGTTGAGGATGAAAAGCCCCGGCACCTGCTTGCGGATCTCCGGGTTGTAGAGAAAGCAGATCAGCACCACGACGTTGGACAGCAGCGACACGAGGATTGTCCCCAAAACCAACACGGAAGCGACCACGTCCGCTGCGTCCATGGTGCCTCCTCTCAAATACCCAGACTCAGGAGCTCATGTCCCGATGCAAACTGTCATCGTGAGTGGCCGTCGCTGCAGCATATGTGAATCCAACACACAGTCATCATCCTCGGGCTCCAAACGTCTCCACTAAACGCAGCGGTGCCTCCAGCAGCGTCCAGGTGCCTCGTGGAGAAACGCTCACCTGGACATCACGAGGAAAACGTGGAGGTCCAGTTCAGATTGGGGTCACAGCGGGAGGTTTGTTCTCTTGTAAGCGCTGCGGTGCTTTCCACGCACCCCCTTCTTGTGCCACTGGTCTCACATCTCTGGGTTTCCTGGCTAATGCGCAATTGCGCGCTGACATTCGATGGGCAGCTTTTTGAAAAAAAAGACACTTACTTGATTCTTTTTCTCCCTGTTGCTGTTTGAATCGTTTCCTCTGACCGAGTGTGAGGCACGCTGCTGCATCCCTGTTCACAATCAGCTTTTTAGGGTAAAAATAGAAGCACGACGCATGATTGCGTCGCTGGTGGACTGATGTCATGAGCGTCACGTTGAACACAACACTTCTGGTAATGTTTGGTGTGAGTAGTCCATGGTCTCCCTGAACATAAAAGTCCTGGATGTTAGTCAGTCTTTTTTATACTTGAAGATATATTTTTCAAAGTCAGTGTCTGATTTATCAGCATTTTTACTTTATTTATTAAAGGTCTCAGAAGCACACACTTACAGGTCATGTATCTTTGGTTGTATAGAGAGAACCAGAGCCTCATCAGTGCTCAAAGCCTTATATGGTTCACTCCATCTACATTATTCAGCAGTGCCATGCACCGCCTCTGGCACAGAGCATGAGCCTCCAGCCTGGGTAGGGAAAGATTGCACTGTCCAGTGACCAAAAACATGCAGATGTGTGTGTGTGGGGGTGTGGGTGTGGCTATAGTGGGTATGGCCAAATAAGCTGCTGTTCTCATTTCTCTCACAGTGTACACAAGGGTCAATGGGGGACATAAGGTCATAAATGTGCTTAAACTATCCCAAACAAAAGTACTTCTTTTTCTATTTAATGGGCTCAGGTCAAGCTATTTGAATAAATAAAGTGTCATATTTGGTATTAA